GGTATGGTTTAAACCCACCAGAGTCAAAGCCAATTGGACAGAACTTAACAACAATAACATTGCTATACTCTCAGTGTGCCCTTTCTTGATAGTGAAACTGACTATGTCTTCCAGAATGTGTCCTTTTACCATGTGCATTGGCTTGCTTCCATCACTGTTTGCTTATCTCCTCCCCAGGTCTCTGAAGGGAAACAGCATTTGACTGTTTCCCCAGCAGGATGGCAGCCTGCTGCAAGGCTTGCTCCCAGCAGGAGAACAGAGCCTGCTGCCGGCCTGCAGAGTGAGAACAACCAAAGTAGGCCAAGGATGGCGCCTCCTCCTCCTCTAGCTTAGACTCATCCTGGGAATTGGGGAGTGTTGTTTCAAACCTTACAGTCTTATTAGATCTATTTTTATTGTTCTTTCTTGGTCCCTTAAGGAAGCTGTGAGCCAGTACACTCTGTTACAGTGATATCTAAGAACTAAATAGATCACAGAAACCAGATTAGTAATCACTACTGCTCTGTAAGAAAAGGCGTTTATTTATTATTACTATTTTTTTATGAAGGTGCTGTGATGGACTTGCCTTTATTCCCCATGTAACAATCGTGTTTGGTCATTTGCATTTTATTTTTGCCATCCTGGGGAGAGAAAAGTTCATTTCAGCTATAATAAATGCCCCTTTTGTGTTTTCTGAATACTATTGAAATAAAAATAATTTTTTTTTTTTTTCTGTTCAGATATACCTCTTTTCCCAGTCAGGAATTTTACTTCAAATGTATAAGTTCTAAATCTTATAAGTCATTGAGTAATAGATTGAATAAAGCCTCCAGTTAACTAATGAAAAATGAAACAGCGCGTAATGTTTTGACTTATAGTCAATATGTGACAATGCATATTTTAAATATGATTCATTTTTCACTTCCTGTCAATCTGGATTAATCTCCCTGTGGTTCCATTTTTAGATCTCCAGAGACTGGACATTTCCTTTTTAAACAGCTACACAATATTAACTGGACTTTTTGGTCCACCTACATAGAGGTTTCTGCTTGTCTAGTGCTGCTCTCTGGTGGTTATTTCTTGAATTACATGCCATAGGTTACTAAAACTAAAACAAAAATACGGAACTAACAACAAGTTAAGTGTACGCAATATACTTGACTTTGTTAATTTCCTGTCCCTTCGTTAAATAGAGTCTCCAGGCCATAACAGATTTCGTTCTCCAATGTTAATTGGGATAGAAATATTAAACCTATGGAAGAATTCAGACATGAAAACTTCCTATGGACCTGCTGGTGAGATGGGCTTCCTGGTTGGGCTGCATAGAGGTGGTACAGCTATGAAAGGGGTTTAGTCTAACAAATGGGCTTGCTTTTTTTTTAATATACTTTTTTTTCTCTAGATGCCAGTCTACTGTTGGCCTTTTAAGTTTTGTTTCTTGTTCTCAGGCTGAAGTCAGAATTACCTGTGTGGAGGTAACAGTTTAACACTATTCTTCAAACCAAAACACCAAATGACACATAGCAATTGTATATGACAGAGTAGAACTGTTGTACAGGGTTCTGAGACTGCAAATCTTTATGGAAGCATATTTCATCTTTCTTCCTCAGAGTGGTTGGTGGGTTTGAATGGCCTACCTTTCAGCACTTAACCCATTCTGCCACAGGAATCCTGAAACATTCCAGTAGTGCTTGTGGAAGGAGATAGAGGAAGGGGAGAACAAGTCAACTGTCAGTGATATTTGATTCCCAGCAGCAAAACGTGGATCCACAGAGCTCCAGACAATGGCAGTATTTGATGACTGTGCTGGGAACGGGTAAATAGAATCAGAGTCACAGCTGCTTGGGACTTGAGGTAGATTTCTGATTTGGTATTCATATATAGTTGATTTTGTGGGTGTGAGGGAGAAAGCAGAAGGGTGAATACATGTACTCTGCACATACTACACATGCAAGACGATGTTAATTCACAGACATTATTAATGATTGAATTGTACCCTCCCCAAAAAATATGTTGAAATCCTAACCCCTGGTATCTGTGAATATAGCCTTGTTTGGAAATAGGGACTTTGAAAATGTTATCTGTTAACAGGAGGTTATACCAGAGTAAAGGAACAATGGTGGTGTAGTGGGTTAAATGTTGGGCTGCTAACCACATGGTCAGTAGTTTGAATCCACCAACCACTCCTTGGAAGAAAGGTTTACAGCCTCAGAAACCTTGTGAGTCAAAATCGACTCAATATTACTGGATTTTAAATATATTTTGGTGGTACAATGAGTAATTATTTGGCTACTAAACTAAAGGCCCAAAGTTCCAAACCATCGGTCCATTAGTAGGAGATTTGCTCCTGTAAAGATTACAGCCTATGGGGCAATTCTACTCTGTGCAACAGGCTCATTGTGAGTCTGAATCGATGGACGGCAAATAACAGTAACAGTACTGGAGTAGAGTGGGTCCTAATTCTCTCTGACTGGTGTCTTTATAAAAGAGGAAAAGAGACAGATGGAAGGTTAGCCATGTGAGAATGCATCCACAAGCCAAGGAACATCTGGGGCTGCTGGAAGCTGAGAGCATCAAGGAAAGATCTCCTAGAGACTTTGGAGACAGTATGATCCAGTCCACACATTTATTTGGACTACTAGCCTCCAGAATTGTGAGACTATACATTTTTGTTCTTATAAGTCATCAACTTTGTGGTATTTTCTTATGGCAATCCTAGGAAATGAATACAGAAATCATCTCATCTATTCTTGAAACGACTCTGGGGTCCATGTGCATTAGGCGTGGGCTGCTAACTGCAGGAGGAAGAGGAAGCTGTCTGCTCCTGTCAAGATTTACACTCTTGGAAATGCAATGTAGGGTGGAGTCCTGGTGGTCCTGCAGGATAATGCATTGGACCATAAGGTTAGCTGGAGCCACAAGGTCGATAATTCAAACCCACCAGCCACTCCTTGGAAACCCTGTAGAGGGTCGGTGTGAGTTCAACTTGAGGGCGTTTCACAACAAAAACAACATGTGTCGGAATTGGCTTAATGGTATTGATGTTGGTTTGTTTTTGGTTTATCTAAAGATGGAGGATCCATGTCTAAGAAAGATTTAACAATTTCACAAGATCACAGAGCTTAAAATGGTCAAGCCCAACAGAAAATCTAGATTGGTCTGATTGTAAGGCTCATGATCCTTCTAGAACACCATGAAGCACTGGGATAAGAGTATATGCATCAGATCAGTGGTTAGGGGAGGGAGAGTGTTTAGCTGTTTCAACGGCTGATTAAAGTAGGTCTGGACTGTGCCATGGAGTTGGTCTACTGGCTGTTTTCCTAACATCGTGGGTTCTGTATTGTATTTCAGGGTAGAGGTTGGGTAGGAGGAGGTACCAAACTACTGCATCTCTGAGCATCTGAATAATTCTTTAAGGGGCTAACCTGGCCACAATGGGTCTTTACTAGTTAAAAATATTCTAATGTAATATAGTGAATACGATGAGTGTTTTAAGAATATAGCTGAAGGAGAGAAGTAATTCTTCACTAGAAACTACTTGTTTTCCCTCTGATTTGTGTAAGAGAGGCATTATGCTTTCTGGGAAACAGAAAACGTTGGCAGAACATAATGTTTGGAACTTGAGATTGAGCCTTAATGAGAGGGAGCTGAGAGAGTAAGGTGGGGAGGCCTTGGCTCTGGATACTTGTGGTGAGTCCACAGACATCTCATACACTGTTGTCTATAGTTTCTAGTTGAAATATTCCATAATTTAAATTAAGACCCTGAAAAGTAGCAGACATAATTCTACCTACTTTTTTTTTCTTTTTCTTTCACTAGTAGCACAGTGAAAGTCCTCTCAAGGACAGTGAAGTTTCAAAGTGGGATAGAGATTCTACTTCACTTAATAAACTGCCTTCCACTATTTAAGCCATAGTCTTAAAGTAGCCCAGGAAGTCTATGTTGGGATGTTGTTGCCTCAAAGTTACTCTTCATCTGTAATATTAAAAACTATAAAAATAAGATGTATATATCAATAATCCTTTAAATAGATAAAGTTCCATACACTTGTTTGTTGTTGTTGTTGTCAGGTGCCATCGAGTCGGAACCTACTCATAGCGACCCCATGCACAGCAGAACGAAACAATGTTCGATCCTGGGCCAACCTCACTACCGCTGCCACACTTGAGTCCATCAATGATGCCACCTGGCTGATCCATCTCATTGGGGGTCTTCCTCTTTTTCTCTGACCCTCCACCTTACCCAGCATGACATCCTTCTCCAACGACTGTTTCCTCCGGACAATATGTCCAAAGTAGGAGAGACGAAGCTTAGCCATCCTGGCCTCCAAGGAGCACTCTGGCTGCACTTCTTCCAAAACAGATCTATTGGTTCTTTTGGCAGTCCATGGCACTTTCAGTATTCTCCTTCAACACCACAACTCAAAGGCATCAATTCTTCTACGATCCTCCTTATTCACTGTCCAGCTTTTGCATCCATATGGAGGGTATTGAAAACACAATGGACTGGGTCAGGCGCACCCTAGTCCTCAAGCTGACATCTCTGCTCTTCAACACTTTAAAAAGTTCCTGTGCAGCAGATTTGCCCAGTGCAATACGTCGTCTGATCTCTCGACTGCTACTTCCGCGAGTGTTGATAGTTGATCAACACTTGTAGAACAATTAAAGTCCTTATATATATTTGGATGAGCTACAACCTAAAGGCTTTTCATGAACTGAAAACTCTCATTCTGGGAAAGGAAATGTTAGGATCACATTTTACATGTCAGCCATACTTGCTACTATTTGAAGCATGTTTTTATACATTATCTCCTTGGTGTATCACAACTGCTCTTTCAAGAACCAGAAGCAGAGAAGTTAAGCAATTCATGTAATCACAGAGTTGGTTAGTGACAGAATCAGGCCCTCACCCGGGTCTCTAGATGCCTTGTCTAGGGATTTATTCCCACTGTATCCCTCCATCCCTGCCTCCCTGTCTGCTACTCTGGCACATTGCCCTAAGGCTTCTTGAAGTTGGCATACCTGTTCGTGAGACCACGTCCTTTCAGAGCCATCTTTGACACAGATGTCCAGCCTCAGCTCTGTTCCTGTGGCTCCATGCTTGCTGTCCACACACAGATTTGCTGCCACATTTCGAATCTGTGGAAAGAAGAAAAATGCTGAGTATGAGATTTTTAATTTTTTTACCCTCAGCTCTTAAAAATTCTGGTACCAATTAAGTAATAAATAAATTTTCTTGCATGACTATTAAATGATACATTGAACTTAAATGCAATTTATGGAGAAAAACAGGAAATTAAATAGAACATGGTCTAGTCCACAACCTGTCAGTAACTTGCATGCTCTGTGATGCTGGAAACTATGCCACTTGTATTTCAAATGCCAACAGGGTTACCCATGTTGGATAGCTTTTAGTAGTGCTTTTAGACTAACACAGACTAGGAAGAAAGTCCTGACAATGTACATTAAAAAAAAAAAAAGGTAATGAAAACCTTATGGATCACAATTGAACATTGTCAAGAACAAACTAACGTTCATGATGACTGGGCAATATATCATTCTACTAAACAAAGGTTATCATGAGTCAGAGTAGACTTGATGGCAACTAGGAACAGCATACCAAGTCTATATCTAAAAGAACATGAGATGGTTAAGTAGTAAAACTCCAACTGGCTGTACCAAAGGACTGTGTGATGATACAACACAGGGAACAGCAAAGAGTTTGTGACTTCTATAAAATGGCAGATCTTTGTTTTTTTAGAGAATTATCTTGGAATCTGTTATCTTCTGACTTCAAAGCATCTTCTATCATTATGTATCACCTTAGCTGGAAGAGAGATTCAGTAAGAGGTATGTGACTGGGTGAATCACTTAGCATTGCATAGTTCTGTGTAGGACAAGGTGACCTTATGTTTGTTAGCCTGTGTGGATCTTGATGAGTTAAATGTCACTCTAGAGCAGTAGCAAAATAGGAAAAACAGTACAACGGTCATAATACTATCTAAAAATTCTCTACTTAAAGCTTGAACTTTGAAAAATTGCAGAGATAGAAAATGCCTAATAATTCTTTATAGTTATTAACCCTGATACAAGGTACTGAATAATTACGGTGGGAAACAGGTGGGCTATAAAAATGATCATCAGCAGAAACCACAACAGAAGCAGGGTAGAGACAGAGATGTGTCTATTTGTCATAGTAACATGAAGATTCCACTATTTCTGTTAATGTCAGGAGCACTCCATGTAACAGAGTTGAATATTCTTTGTAGTTTTTTACTTAGACATTCAATAAACTATATATCTCAATTGATTGTTTTTCTGGCTTTATAGAGTCCTGGATTATAACACAGATAGTCTCCAATTTGTGACATATTCGAGTTATGATAAATAGCATTATGACTGTCCTTGTCCTTTCTTTTTGTACATCTGTTGTTAGTAATATGTACTACATCTAATGTTGCAGTGCAGAATTTGCTGATGTTATCATTCTCTGGTACTCACTCCCAGTTATTCAGTATTATGATTTACTAATCAAAACACTGCTGAATAGCAGGTTACGGCGTGGTCTATAATGAAGTCTTTATTGGTATTAGTTTAGGGTACCCTGGTGTGGCACTGCAGGATAATGTACTGGACTGCAAGGTCAGTTTGAACTGCAAGGTGGGTGGTTCAAACCCCCTGTGCACAGGGTCACTATGAGTTGGAAGCAAGTCAACAGCACTTAACAACAACAATGAATAGAAGGAGTCCTGATGTGACATTTTAGGTTAAGTACTAGACCGTTCAGTTTGAACTGCAAGGTCAGTTTTTCAAACTCACCAGTGGCTCCTCAGAAACCCTATTTAGCATCTCTATAAGTTGGAAAGGACTTGACTGCTCTTAACAACAATAACAACAACAACAATGGATAGAAAAACGAGTGATATTCCATTCTAACAATATAAGACAAGTGAGCTGAGCTTACATCCAATAACCATTACAACTCTGATTTCATTGTTATGACACTGATGCCAACAAATAAAAATCAGATTTATAAAGATACTGTAGTAAAAAGCATGATGAAAACTGAAAAAAAAAAAAAAAAAAAGAAGAGGTATTCAACTTATGTCGGAACCAATTTATGATAGAATTGTCAGAATGGAACCCTGTCAAAAGTCAGAAATTATCAGCAATCCCTCAAAGCACTATTAAAAATAAAAGGAAGAATAGGATGAATTCAACTGTCAATTTTAATCAAGGTTGTTTTGCCTAGAATGAGTAGATCAGGTGAGATGTACCCCCCTATCAGAAGGATGCCTGAACTGGGCCTATTCTGATTGGGATGGGGCCATGAGATAAAGAGAAAGGAGTCCCTGGGCAGTACAGTCCCTGGGCAACCACATCTACTAACCAATAGGTTGCGGTTCAAGTACACCCAGATCTGGGTGCTCTACTTTTGGAAAAGCAGCTTCTGAAAATCCATAGATCACAATTGTACTCTAGTAGGTAGAGGGTTGTCACTAGTTGGAGATGACTCAATAGCAACCTGTTGCTGGATCATGAAAGGAATGAATGACGCTGGCATGGGGGTGGGGGTGATGGTGGTGGCGGGAGCTATTTCATAGTTCATCTACTTCAGGGGTGGGGAACATCTGGCCCATCGGCCGTATAAGGTCAGTGAAATCCTGCCAAGGCAACTGCAATTCCAGCAGTTGTTGTTAAGTGCTGTTGAGTCAGTTCTGACCCATAGCGACCCTGTATAGGGTTTCTGAGAAGCAGCTGGTGAGCTTGAACCACCGACCTTGCAGTTCAAATGGCTTTGCAGTCTGGTGCATTAACCCACAGCGCCACACCAGGACTCCAGCCATCACATTACAGGTGAGTTAATGAAATGTTTGACAAAAAATAGCAGGCTAATTTTTTTATTTAATTTTTTTTTTTTATTGTGAATTAAGTGATAGTTTACATGGGAGAACATCAGCTTTACAGTCATCCTATCGTATTTTGTTTCACTGCAATGATTACAACCCCTCCATGCATCATCATTCAACAGTATTTTCTTCTATTCCTTCTGGGTTTTTTTTTTTTTTTTTTGTCGACTGTACACAAAAACACTCTCAGGAATATATAATCATTTAAACAGCCAACCAAAGGACACATTCTGCAAGCTTAGCAGGCTAATTTTTAAGTCAGTAATTTTGTATGGTCCACAAATGATGTTATAAATATCCAAGTGGCCCTTGGCAGACAAAAGGTTCCCTATCCCTGACTACTTTAAGAATCAATGTAATATGCACCATTTTCTTTGTTTAGGGAATTTGAATATAAGTTAGGATCGTTACTACTGGATCTCTACTTTCAGGATCTCTGCCTTTTATTATAGAAGAGTATGAAATGACATAGGATACAGGCAGGTTAACAGTTTTTAACCTGGTTGGCCTACAGTCTAAGAAAAGTTATGGACACTTTGCAAAAGCAAGCAAGCAAACAAACCAACTAATAGAAACATAGGCAAATACACACTAAGAGCTTTGTACACATTTGCCTGGAACCCACAGACTCCAGATGAAAAGCCTCAATTAGGGAAAAGACTTGCCTCTCATCTCTTACAAACTGATTCCCAGCAGTTTGGGAGAGTCTGGAAAAATCCAGAGTGAACTTGGTTGGTGGTGGAGTACATTCTAAGAAAAATTTCCGATTCACTCTCATGTCTGACTTTTTCTTTAACTTTCCTAAAACAAAGTACCGGAGTGGAATTTTACTCTTGAATTTAGGAAGCCAAGTTTAAAATATATGCCTTTTAAGAGATGGATTTCCTGATGTGTGCTGGAGTATTTCTGGTGAAAGAGAAACAACCTGAAAGTGAAAGTTAGATTTTGCTCTCTGCCTTGAGTCTGACACATGCTGGAAAGTTCCTATTTGATCTTCTCATCTGAGTTCATTCAGTGCATTGATTTTCTATAGCTGCCTATAACCTGAGAGCCACCAGACAGAACTCTGGGTAGGGCTTTCTTTTCATTTTTGGATCATTTAACTCACAGAACTATGCTTGTTAGAGAATAAGTATAGGTTTATATTAAAAACATTTGCAGAGCACTGGGTGCCCTCAACTTGAGTCTAGGAGCTCTAACACACATTTAGGGAAGAAAAGGAGCTGCATATAGGCTTATAGGAGCTCCTGGGTACTTGAACATGCTCAGCTACTAATTGAAAAGATGGTAGTTTGAGATGCTCAGAGACACCTCAGAAGAAAGGCCTGACAACATACTCCATAAAAATCAGTCATTGAAAACTCTATGGAACACAGTGCTACTCTAACACATAGGGTTGCCATGAGTTAGAATTCATTGACAGAAGCTGATCCAGGTTAATGGCCACTCTGAGAAGTTTGCCCGCTCACTCACTGGAGAAGCTCTGTTCTTGGAAAAGGTAGATGTGGCGAAGAGGAAAAGATACCCAAAGCAGAGATGTTGAGTGGCAAATCAGCCTGTGGACACACACCAGAGCCTATCTGGGTGTGTCATTTCATGTATAAATATTATGAGCTCCAAAGGGCTCTGGCTGGATGGAGAATACCATTTTCTAAATGCTCAAATTTTCTAAATTCTCACTCAAATGGCATCTGTGTAGACAATGGGATAAACTGCTTTGCAAGCCAAATTTCAAGTTTCAAAGACATAATTGTGTACATCTGTGCAAATTCCAGGAAACAGTTGTGCCAGAGAGGAAATGCTGGGAGTTCAGTATAGGATAAGGTAGACACCTGGATACACAATTAATACCAGGTTATTCTCCCTTGCTTCTTTCCTTCATTCTCCTTATTTCCCAAACCCTTTACAATATATACATATCCTCTCCTCTTGCTCATAAACACAACCCCATCAGGATAAAGAAGAGAATAAATCTTCAAAAGAACAGATAATAGTACTGGTTCATTCATTTGAACAGTGTTTTAGAAAGATAGGCAAGGAAAGTTAGAAATGATTTATAATTTTCAACATGGGTTCTGTACCAGTGGCTGAAGGTAAAAGAATATATACACATGTTCACACACCAAATCTAGGGCACAGAATATTGAATAAATCTAGGACAAAATAGATGATTTTCATGCTCTTTTCCTCAGATGTTCAGCTTCAGGGCTTGGCATCATTTAAATCATG